TTATGATACAATCTAAATAAAAAATAGCAGACAAGCAGATTTATGTTGGCTGGTAAAACTACACCACCGATATCATAACCAAAACACCGAAATCCCCTCTCTTTTCTCCTCCCTCCTCACTATTTCTCATTCGGAACCCCAGTCCGGCTGTTTCCTAAAAAAGTCAGTTTTTTTAAAACATTTCCAGGCTGCCTCTCGAAAAAATAAAAGGAATGAAACACATACTTTATCCGCATAAATTCACTTTACAACCTATAATTTCTGTGTCTTTTATCTTAATATTTAACGTATTTACCTGTTGATATGAGTTGTAGGAGTAGTCGAAAAATAATTCTTCACCAAATGTGATATTTTTTCGAGCGAAGATGCCGATTCGATGATCCCCGTTCACCATGAAAACCTACAAAAAGAACATTTCAATTGAGCGGATTCTCGTGCCAACTTGTCGGGAAGCTTTTTGGAGAGATTATCATCAAAAAATATATGAAATGATTACTTTTGCCATGCAATTCGGATCCTTTGAATGATTCGCAAAGCGAATAATATTGCCTTTTCGAGTAGCATCCACAGCCATCTCATCATTTAAACCTATAAAATGGAAGTTGAGAATTGAAACTGGTTACACTCTCTAGCTACTAAGACATTCTTGCTTCCAAAAGCAGTCTGGATATCGGCACTCTCGATGCATCCCTCTTCTTCGTGCGCATCCTCCCGAAACCAACGAGGGCTTCTTACCCTTGGCATTATTTCGGATCAGTATTTTCAGTATTACCCGAATCTGTTTCCTTCGACATTACAATTCCCGCCCATCTGTACTTCCTTCAACAGTAAATCTCTATACCGACGTTGACACTATCTCTGGCGAATATTCGCGGCGTTTACCCGCAAATTCGCGGAGCACAGGTGGGGACTGTAACGTTAAAGAGAGTACATTCAGGTAACGCTAAAGATACTGATTTGAAATAATGTCGTGGACAGGATGCCGTTGTTAGTTTGGTTTGACGATAAAGATGATAACTTGTTCTCGATAAGCTTTTGCTTTGCTCGGAAGTTCACCACACGAGATAGGGGTTGAAAGAAAAATAACTTACCTTTTTTGTGCATAAATATTTAAACAGGCAATATGTTTATTCTCATCTTTCCCTCAGAATTACTCATTTCGGGCAGTAAAAAAAAACACTTTTGTTCTCGAAGAGACCTACCGAACAAATAACTGCATTTCAATTTGTCATAGATTTTGCCCCTGCGCTCGCTTTCATCGTGGCTTATCAATTCGCCGCAGTATTCCGAGATGAATTCGTTCTTTTCAATATCTTCACCCGCAAAGCATCCCCAACCGGCTACCTAAAATGAATTGTTCTGCAACAAATTTCTACTAAATTACTGAAAATCGTGAACTTGCGGATTTGGCGCACAGGCAATCAATACTACTCCCGAGCAAAAAATAAGTACTCTAATTCGATTCATAAGCGAAACATCCCACCTATAATTTGTTGATTCGTTTTGATGAACCGGAGCTGGTACATATCAGAAAATCCACTCTATTAGCCCGTTTCCCAGCAACACAGAAAATTTGAATTATACATTTATCTGAGTAACTCTCGTAATTTACTTGTACATTGCCCGTAAAGCACACTTTTTATATCTACTGGC